ACCCCTAAACCCTAAACACCTAAGCCCTAAACTCAAGGCTTAGGTCTGTTGCTGATCTGGGTCTGTGGCCGACCACCTCCGGCCTGCTCTGCAGGTCCATCAAAAGGCCTCAAGCCATATGATTGTGGGTTTAGGGTTTAGGGTTCAGAGTCTAGGGTTTAGAGTTTAGGTTTAGGATTTAGGGTTCAGGGTTTAGGGTTTAAGGATTTAGGGTTGGGAAGAAGGGAACATATTGGGGTTATATGGGGATCATGGAAAAGATAATGGAAACTACTACATTATAATTGGGTGTATATTGGGGGGCTATGGTAGGGCAAATGGGAATATCCTACATAGGGAGTATGTAGGGATTCTATTCCCCTCTTCTCTACGTTACTAACTCCCAGAAAGTCTGGGGCTCTCTGTTGCAGGTTCAGAATACCTCCACGAGTGCAGTCCCCCTACGTAGATGGAATATGGCTGCGGGCATATTATGATAAGATCCCCATACATCCCGTATTCTATCTACTTACGGGGGACTATACCTTTAAATGCTGTCAGAACTGATGATGGCTACCCTCTTTGTAGTGCTCATCGTCACGTTCAGAGGTACTCTGAACATGGCTTCAATCAAAAAAACGGCTACACTCTGTAAAAGCTTAGGTATACGTTCGTGTCGGAAGTAGCCCGAATATGGTTAGAACCGATTTCTTAGTGTGCCTAAGCCCTGGGCAAGGCTGTTGGGAGCTTTAGGACAGACCTTTAACAAGGAATTACAAACAATCTACTATAATCTACTATAGTTTACTATAATCTACTCTATATACTATAATCTACTTTCATATACTATAACATACTACAATGTACTAAGACCCTCGTAGTTCAATGGATGTAAGGTTTGACTTCCAACAAGGGACCCATCTAGCTCATGGATAAGAAGCAATGAAATCATTATGTGGTCCCGTTGATTCATGAGGGTTGTTCTCAAAATTATGGGCCCCTTTTGGTGATGGATTATATTACGGCACCTAATATTTAGGGGTACCAAAATTGGAGCCTAATCTTGGGAACACCCACGAAGCCACATGGGTGGTTGTCAAAGTTATGGCCCCTTTTTGGATCCCTATCATACGGCACCTCATATTTACGGCACCCAAACAGGGATCATAATTTTGACAACCACCCACATAACTTGGGAACATCTATTCTCCGCATCCCAGCTGTCCTCGCCTCTGCTCTGTCTGCAGATTGCTGCACCCTGCACACAGAACCTCGGGGAAGGTTGTGTTTGAGATGTTTGAGTATGACTGGCAGGCCAAACAGCTTACTAGTGCTTCGGAGGAATGGCTCGTAGCAGTCCCAAATAAACCCCATAATCATACCTGGATTCCATTTCCTCATTCCCGATTACCCTCCAGGAAGATGAAAGAGTGCATCTGAGTCATCCGCAAAGGCATGGGCTTGTAAATGACCATCTGCTGGCAGCCATCTTGGGCCCCAATGGCGCTTCCGTGGCCTCAAGAAAAAATGGGTGGGTGGGCCGCCTCAGAGACCCTAGTCGCACATGAACTACGGCGATCCCTTCTTAGGATGATATCGGGGCTGTTTCGGGAAACCCTGGAGCAGAAGACAAAGAAGTGAGCTACTGTCTAAACTCCTAGTATCCCCCTTAATAACCCCTATAGTAGTCCCTTATATAATCCCCTATATATTCCACTTTAAGGAGTTTAGACTACAGCTCAAGTGTTGCCAGCTGGGCACTCTGAGAACACGACCGTGGCGGGGCACACAGGAGGTCAGTGTCAGGACCATCACGATCTGGTGGCCGCAGTGTCTGCTGCAGCAGCGTAGACCTCATACCAGCCACACTGCTACACATTTCGTCTCTGGAGAATGCGTAGGAATCTTGGCACCTGACATCGCAGTGCCTATGGAAGAAGCTGGCACAAAAAGTGCAGGCGCCCCCGGCGCGTCCACACGCAGCAGGAGCCTACAAATTAGTGCTCTTCAATATGAAAAGGTCCACGCAGGACACAGCAGCTCTAGCTGCAGGCTACAAGAATACCAGCTTGATCCAAGGCGCTGATCACAAAGGCGTACAAGGCGCTCAAGGCCCATGCAGACACCAATGTGTCGCAGGTCGCGCACCTCCGAGAGAGCGAGAAAAAGAAAGAGAGGGCGAGAGAGAGAGAGAGCGTAGCAGGAGAGAGGAAGGCATGAATGCGCAGCGAAACGTGTGGCCTCCTGCCGCAACAGCAGCCCACGAGCCTGCCATGCAAATGCTGAAAAAATCTCCTGCGTGGCTCTCTCCACTTTCTGTGGCAGGGTTGCCGCTCGTAGGCGCGTGGGACGCAGAGATTCGTCTGGGGCCTCTCCGTGGGAAACTGACAGCAAACTCAAATCATGGAAAATACAATGGGAACTACTATAATATTAGGGTTATATAGGAATAATAGGGCATAATATAGGGTATATGTCAGCGTTTTTTGGTTATTTGGGTTTTTGCAACCACCTCCGAGTTGGACCCATGTGGTCGCAAGCGAAGCTGCTGCTCTCGTTGCCATGCAGGGTGAGACCTTCGAACGCCACAAATGCCAACTGCAGATCTTCTTCAAAATTGCAACCCTTAAATAGATGGAATATGGCTTTGGGATGCTTTGGGTATATTCTATCTACTTGAGGGGGACTATATATCTTCCAGCATGTGCATGCCATGCTTGCCACGAGGACAGGACTCATCGATAACTTCGATGCTTTGTAGCCTTGGTATTCAAGACAAGAGGGCAGCTGGGGCCAATCAACACGCAGTCAACACCTGCACAGACTGAGACAGCGTCGTGTTTGTACAGAAATAGCGCACAAGCCTCAGTCATGAGCCGTCATCCACCGCAAGCTTGGGTTGCTGTTAAGGAACTTAGTTCAAGTTACAATATTGGGGAAACACTATTATGGAACTTAATTCAAGTTACTATATTGGGGAAACCCTATTATTGTATATATATATACCCATTGTGGTAACTTAATTTTGCAAACCCCTGGGATCTCATCAGGTCTCAGACGCTGCCAGGACCGCTTCACCGAAGCTTCGCAACTCCAAGCCGCTAAGTGCCGACCAAGAAGGCCCCTGCCAGGCATACACATGGGGGGAGTTTCTCAAGAGATTCCTATCGAAAATCTCGAGTAGAGGTCTAAACTCCAGACACTCCCCTGAAAATCCCCGCACATACCTCTGCGGTCCCTAGCCAAGGTATCCATATTAGATCCTGATATTATCTATGTTATTGGGGATTTGGACATCCGTTACTAGCAATACTACTTATGTGACATACCTGAGATCTTCTGCCTGGTTACCGGCAGGCTTGTGCACAGATCGGGCTGCAGCACTTGCTGCGGGCGACTCGTACGCGGACGTTACCTGGAGCATGTGAAAAGCAACTGGCAATGTGTTTTGCTTGATCGGAATGCCTACAGCAGGCTCTATAGTCCCCATAGTCCACTCCTCCACTTCCTACCAAAAAAGGGTCGTGGTGCAAAAAAGTTTTGAAGTGGTCTAATCATCGGAGTCCATACTACCCTCACCCCTCACCCCAACTAAGGGCCAATTTAGCCTGAAAAAGCAGGGGATTCATGAGACCTCTGCTCTGAGCATCCTGCATCCGAGCGTGCAGGGGGACTTCGAGCTGCTGCAACAACAGAATCGGGCAAAAGCTCCTTTCACCCCAGCAGCAAGCGAAGTCGGGCTTGGCCAAATTGGACTTCAAATAAATGCACTTGCTAATATCCGAAGGAACCCTGTATACACTCGCCAAAGGCCCATACTAGACACTCTACCTCATGTAATCCCCATAGGGGACTTGCCAACAGTCCTCTTCAGACGCGCTGTCATCAGAGAAATCTGGAAGCGACCGCTTCGGCTCTGCCACTTGTGGAGCAGGCCTAGCAGCCTAAGCGACACTGAAATTTTCAAGCTGGGTTTAGGGTCTAGGGTTTGGGGTTTGGAGCCTAAGCGATATGGAAATTTTCAAGCTGGGTGTTGCAAGGCTGTCAAGGGATGATAGTGGAGCATGTAAGGTCTTTAGTGGTTAGGATTATGGTTTAGGGTCTGGGGCTGAGATTCGGGATTGACATCTCGGAGTTTAGGTTTCCGGGCTGCAGGCCCGGGATTTGGGACTTAAGCTTCATTGTTGTTGTTGCTGTTGTCGTTGTTGTTGTTTTTTGTCGTTTGCCGTCTTTGCATCTGGAATCCTTTTAGGCCCACAGCCTGCTCTCAAGATTTGTCTTACTTGGAAAAATATCCCTGTAGACCCCTTTATAGGGACCTCCTTAAGGTTTAAGAGTTTAGGGTTCAGGATACAGGGTATTTAAGGTCCTAGTAGTATATGGGTATTGCTGCTTTTGTCAGGCCACTGGATGTGGAGACAGTGTGGTCGTTGAGTCATGATAGTTTTAGGCTTCATAGATTAGGGTGTTCCCCTTCTCCTAACTAGCAGGGCATCCCAGTCAGTGCCCTTTCAAGGCTCTTGAAGGGGCCTCCAATGGCTGTCTGCTGCTTTGGGAACAGGTATTACCATCACGTTTACGAGTGCTCAGCATTCTTTTGGCTTGGTTCCTAAAAGCTATCTTTGCTATGAGTAGAATCTTGCGGCAAAATCATGGTAGCATCAGGCCTTGGCATCAATAATTGCAGCTAAGTGCTGGTGGTGCTTTCACTAATATGGGCCACTGTGACGTCGGCGATGTTACTGTCGACTGACGAAATATGTTCACTGCAACTGATAGCCCTTGTTGCCGTTGCTTCCAGTCGTTTCATGCTTACTGCGCGAACTTTCTTAGTATCCTTGTAACTAACCGTACCATACCCCACCACCCTTAAAAAATCCCAAGTTATGCTCTGCAGGTTTAATGATCTTTGTTCGGGGAATCGATAAGGAGTCCGAGATTCAAGATAGAATTTTGGCAGCGTATACTTCGTATACTGGGGATGTCCAAAGCTTAGGCGTCCGCTTAGGGGTGACACATCAAGAAAAAAATGATAAGCATTGAGAAACATTTGACCTAAACAATCAAGAAAAAATGAAAACTTGCGCACGGTATCAAAAAATAATTTGACAAGCACCAAGAATCATTGAGGATAACTGTAGTATACATTTGCAAGAATAAAGTGAATGGGAAATAGTAGTACTCACAGTACGAATATGGATATCACGTATACTGGTAGCAATACCGATAAGAACAATAGTTGGAAAGAGACTACGGCTCACAATATTTTTCATGCTTGGCAAATTAATTGTTTGATGCCTGGCAATTCTTCTTGATGCCTATTTCTTGATGCCTATGCCTCCGCGTAGGGGGCTTACCATATTCAGGATTGTAATATGTTCTAGACATGGGAAAAACATGGCAAAACCCACTGGGTTTCCGACCGCCATCGTTCTTTGTGACCCTCTTTTGGCAGGGCCATCACCACCTGCCATGGTATGAGGGATGTTGAGCTTCGGATGAAATTTGTGGGTTTCCCAAAATTAGGGGTACGTTTTAAGGGGGGTTAATAAAGGGATAATGGAAAAGACAAAGGAAACTACTATTTAGGGTTGAGGGCTTAAGGTTTCCCAAAATTAGGGGTACCTTTGTGGGGTCCCAAAATTAAGAATTAGTGTATTTGGAGGTCTATATTGGGGTCCCCCTAGTTTAGGGAAATTACCCTTTGGGGCTCCCATTCACTGTAAAGTATACATCTACACAAGCTTACACCAGAACGGGAGAAACTCAAGGGAGCAACACAAGATTAGCCCCCTAAACCCTAAACCCCAAACCCTTGCAGCCCAAGATTCCCAAACCCTAAATTCTAAACCCTACACCTTGGGTACTGCCCCCACCCAGTATTTAGGGTTTAGGGCTTTAGGGTTTAGGGTTTAGGGTTCAGGGTTTGGGATTTAGGGTTTACGGTTTGGGATTCAGTCTATATTAGGGGTCCTACTAAGGGCTATATATACCCATAGTTTAATTATTATCCAACCGTTATTGGAGGGGGCAGTACTGAACCTAAACCCTAGATTCTAAACCCTAAACCCTATATTCTAAACCCCAAACCCTGCTGGCCTGATTCAGAATCTGAGCTGAATGTAGGAATCGGCTTTTTCCTCGGCATGGGTTTAGGGTTTAGGGTTGGGTTCAGGGTTTGAGGTATTTTTTTTTAACAACCCCATCGACTATTTGAGTGTCTAGCAGCAGCTGGGGGTCATGATTTGCCCGGTTTGGTTTTACTATCGGTCTAGGGTTTAGGGTTTAGGGTTCAGGGTTTAGGGTTTAGGGTTTAGGGTTGAGGCTGGCCACACCAGGAATCTTTGTTGGGAACTGTTTGGGACTCTTGCTGAGAAACTCCCACACGGCTCTAGCTTAAATGGATTCCGCGCGTAGACATGGTTCTCAGAAATAGCATCATATCACGCTGGGGGTTTACCTGAAAAGATCCTAATGCTGATACATTCCCGGCTATGTCCAAGAATGAGGTTCAGTACTCTGTCTAACAAACTACCAGAAAAGCACCTCTGATTTTGGGAAACCCCCAGTTGCCCATGACACAAGCACACTGAAAAGCACCTTTAGTCTGACCCCGACGCCAGCTGCATAGATGCTCAGCAGATTTGAAAAGTAGAGTTGATATACCCTTAAAGCCCCATAGCTTCTACTGACCGCCCGCTTTGAAAGTCGCCCTAAACCACACCTACGAAGTCCTCTATATATGCTAGGTAACCCGAAAAAAACTCTTTAAAGGAACCCTGCATATAGTCCCCCTCAAGCAGATAGAATATGGCTTTGAGTATATACTAATAAGATCCCCATCATATACCCCATATTCTATCTACTTAAGGGGGACTATATCCCTATATCGGATCCCTAAGCCGCCACAAGACCCCACCTAGTCTAGGCTCCACGCCTGGCAACGTTTGCTTTGACCTCACCGGGCATCTGGAGGGGGTTCTCAGAAGGACGGATCGTTGGGGATATAGTCCCCTTAAGTAGAAAAGAATATTGGGGGGTTATATTGGGATAATGGAAAAGAAAATGGAAACTGCTATTTAGGGTTAGGGTTTAGGGTATAGTCTCTCTGAAGTAGATAGAATATGGGGTATAACATCATGGAACCAGAAGATCTTAGGGGCTGTCTGATGGAATATATGAGCAGAGTCTTGAGAAACTCCAATGTGGCTACATGAACCCTGGTTGCACGTGAAACAAAGGTCGGCTGCTTTAGTAGGCAATGAAGGCATAGTTGACATCGTTGCGCACATCAAACTCCTCTAAAAGCTTTCCCCCTAAAGCCTACACGCCAACCCCATGAATCCTAAAAGTACACTCTAACCCTGACCCTGAAGCCTTTAACCCCGAAAGGCAGAATTTTGAGGCTGCGGCTTTGGCTTTTTGTGGAGGACTTGTGGGCGCAGGATTTAGCGCCTGCGGCAAGGCTCAGGAATTGGGGGGTTCAGGATTCAATTCTGGGTGCAGGGTTCAGGGTTTAGGGTTCAAGCGTGGGGTTCAAAGAGCTCGAGTTTTAGTTTGTGGCTTTAGCCTATTGATGGAGAACGCCTTGCACCACTTCATCAGCAAAATGCTCAAGCTCTGGATACTTGCTTTATCCAGGTGCCCCGCCCTCAAAGTGAAATGTGTATCTCTTCGGTGGACAAAGCATAATAAGGAATATGTTACGGTCCCATTAAATTCCTACCATACCACTATTACCGGCAGCCTGAGGTATCTCTCCTGTACCCTCAACGGAATGAACATTTGGAAAGCAAGGTAGGCGGGGCCAACGGACTCAGGAGGACGCCAAGCCAGCAGCTTCATCCGCGTCGCTGTTTTGGGCAGTCCTTGCAAAGAAGCCAACAGATACTAGATTCTATTGTGGTGGTTCTTTTTTCTGCTAGAACCCATTCAGGAAGTAGAGAAAACAGTTTTCAACAACCAGCAGCAGGATGCGTTGAGTAATTCCCTTACGAATTAGAAGCAAATGCCTTGGTTGAGGCAGTGGCGTTGGATGCTTTCTTTGGGCCACGCTCCTCACATGCTGGAGATCAAGACACACCAAGAGATCATACAGCGCAAACAACGCGTATGGACTTTGTCTGCCATGAGTGCCTCTGGCGCGACCGATGCATTTCTGCCAGTTCAAGCAGTCCGCCTGACTCGCTGCCGGTGTCCTGCACGTAGGCCAAGTAGCGACGTGTGACTTACTCCGCTGTAATCCCCACATACTCCTGATGTAAGGCCTTTACCGACTTTCCACACAAAGAGGACCTTTGGAATTCAGTAAAACCCTAAACCCTAAAGCCAACCCCACGCTTAGAAGGCTTAGAATGTCCTCTTCCTCCACTTCAAGGGCCTGGCAGCTACAAACGGAACTAACTCCACTGGACTTATGGGATTTGTGCGCTGCCTCCGTGTTAAAGATAGCCACTGACTCAGGGCGTAGGCGAACCACCTGCAAAAACAAGGCCAGCAAGCGAAGCAACACCCATCCATTCAACACATCCGAGCATGCAAATGCCTGCGCCGAAAATGCACGCCACACAGGGGAATCTGTGCCATCCTGCATCGCCTGGCGACAAAAAGTGGCAGGGCTTGCAGATTTAGGTTCGTGAGTTTCAAGAGCTCAATGTGAGTACCGGTTTTCTACACAAACCTCCAAGGACCCAGATTTTGAGAAATCCCCATGCCAAACTCGTCCGGGCAACCAGTCGAGCACGTATTGCGGTGCAGCATATGGGTATCCTTGCCTCCTCCTGCCAGGATACCAAGCTTTTGCAGGCGGAACCTTCTTTGGTAATCATGCAGGGCTGTGCCTGAACGGTGGCCCCTATTGCGGGGTTGCTTTGAGGGTTCTTTGGTGAAAGACTCCCGCTGAGAAATGGTCGCAGGGGACCTGAATTGGGCATGTATTCGTGTAGGAATATGCAGGTTGTAGGGAGTCTCTCGAAACATCATGGGGATTATGTCGGAGCTTCTGCAGAATGCTGGCTGTCTTTCTGGGCGCCCTCGGAACATGGCAATGAAAGAAACGTTGCACGGACCAAAACGCTGAGAACTTGCAAGTGTAATTATGTTACGCCCCAGATAATCCTATTACGCCACGATTTGTTATAATGGAAAATAAAATGGAAACTACCATATTACAATAGGGAAAATATTAGGATCATATTGGAATGATGGAAAAGAGAATGGAAACCACTATATTTCAATGGAGTACATGAGCTAATGTCTAAACTCCTAGTATCCCCCTTAAGAAGCCCTATAGTAGTTCCCTATATAATCCCCTATATAACCCCCCTTTAAGGAGTGTAGGCTATAGCTCATATGGGTGGGGGACCAGCCACCTGCAGGAATACCCTCACAATCTCGCCGGGACATGTTGGGACTATCAACTGAAGGTTATGTTGGCGAAAACAGTCCAATACTCTGAGCCCTAAAACATTAACCCTAAACCCCTGGAGCTTAAACCCTAAACCCCTAAAGCCTAAACCCTAAACCCCTAAAGCCTTAACCCTAAACCCCTAAACCCTTAACCCTAAACCCGAAAAAAGCCTAACCCCAAACCCAGTATTCCTCCAGAGTGGAGTCTTTTTCGGAGACGAGGAAGGCATCACAGAAGTCGACCAGGCTTGCCGGGGCCTGGCACTTCACTTGTCTTCAGCTTGAAGCGGACTATACCTGGTTCCAAAATAGAAGAACTTGGGCTTGGGATCAAAGATTTAGGGTTTAGGATTTGGGGTTTAGGGTTTTGGGTTTTGGGGTTTGCGGTTTAGGTATTAAGGATTTAGGGATTTGGAGTTTTGTCTAGCTATCAGACCCTAGCACAGATGCTTCGCAGGCCACCGTCGCGATGCCGGCATGGAGTCTCTATCCTACTATGTACTGTAGCGTACGATCTGAAATGTGTATGTTAATAGAGGAAGGAACATTGTATGAAAGAAGTATGTATGCATCTGCGCATACATGCATGCTTGCCGCATGTCTACAACATATTCAGCTGGGGCTTCCCAAAATTAGGGGTAGTTTGTTAGGTGTGCTTATTTGGTATTTTGGGGTCTATATTATGGTCCCCCTATTTTAGCAAAGCCACAAATTATATGTCTTATGCTGTACTCAAGCCCTAAACCCTAAACCCTGAACCCTAAACCCTAAACCCTATAAACCCTAAACCCCTAAACCCTAAACCCAGCAAGCCAGCTCCTGGAGCTCAGTCCTTTGCGCAGCCCCCGCCTGGCCGGAAGCTCCAGCAACGCCGTCTTCCTTCTCTTCTTCCTGCAACCGTTGGGTTTAGGGTTGAGGGTTTAGGGCTTAGGATTTGGGTTTAGGGTTAGGG